TTTGAGAGGCTTTTGCTATAGGGCGCGTGCGCTCGCCAGACAGAGAGAGACAGAGAAACAGAAAGCGAGAAATCACCCCCCCAGGGGTATGGCCACACCACAATCCCTTCTCCTCCATTCTCCTCTCGGGATTTTGGGCACGCACGCACACACGCCCAGCGTGAGTTTTAAGCTACTAGGTCTGGGACGCATACCGCGTTCGACTACATGGGAGTCCAGCGGCATAGCCATTATGCTAACTGCTGGTCCCATGTGCAGCCTCTTGTGGGTGAGGAGTGGGTGAGGACAGGGGATTTGTTCAGCACAAGCTTTAACTCTGGGATTTCTTGTTGGGGCAGGGACAGGAGTTCCCCCCTCAGGAGCAGCTGAAGCCTCAGTGACCTCCCTGACGGACATGGCTTCACGCACCAGTGCATGCCAGGCGGAGGAGAGTGGAAGGGCTGCAGCCAGTCTGTCTTCAGGGACCCCAGCAGCTGTCCAGCATCCAGGCTGTGCCAGGCCCAGTCCCATGGGTTCCAGGTGCAGGAGGCAGCCCCCAGCCCAGTCACAGGGAGGGTCCAGGTCGGCCCCCTCCTCCTGCCTGTCTTTTGTCCTGCCAGCTACTCTTCTGACCGCCCCCATCCCTGGCACCTCTTCTCCACAGCCGTGGCCAGTGGGGGACTTAGTCGGCCTCTAGCAGGTGTAGGTAGGAAGGGGCTACAGGCTACGTGCTCTGGACACATTGGGTCAGCTAGTGAGAACTGCCTGTGGTTGGAGGCCCCCAGAGGACTCTGCCCTGTGTTCCCTGCAAGCCCTCCTAGCCCAGCCCCTGACCGCAGGCTGAGGGGTCCCTAGAAACCCAGTGCCGGAGGCACCTGACACACGACCAGGAAAGCACTGGGTGCACAGCCTGCCTCCGCACTCGGAGCTGCTCAAGTTCTTTTGCCTCAGCCTTCCCGCAGGGAGCCCTGCGTGGGAGACGGGGACCCAGCAGAACTGGTGCCGGGTCTCACCCCCGGACCATGCCCGGGCCCGAGAGCCTTTGTGCCTCCCTTCTCCCTCTGTTGCCCCAGCACTGCTGTCCGAGTGCTGAGAGCCGGGTCACCAGCCCAGTGGAAGCGCTATCCGGGTGCGCCCGCACCTGCCATTGGGCTCACCCCCCCCCCTCTCTC